AATTCGCTCTATATGCATCAATCTAGCATCATTATTAAGGTTCATTTTTCTTTGGTTTGCTGGTATGAGCTTTGACATAGGTTGATCACGTTGGTATTTTCTCTCACTCCCATCTACACAACAACCCCGGATTAACACCCAGTTACACAAACAGTCAGATTCAGATCCACACAATACTTACCAAAGACCGTCATCAGGGCAGGGCTGCCCTGTTGTTCTGCCCTGCCCACCCTGTCCTGCAGGGCGAATATTTGTTTTTTGCTCTGACCTGTTTGTCCTGCAGGGCAATCAGAGCAGGACAGGACAAATTCTTTTGCCCTGATGATTTTTGTGCTCCCATATGAATCAGAACTTTTTTGTAACAATACTTGTTTTTCTATTTCCTACGATTGCTTTCTATGAGTGCAAACAAAACAACGATGAGAGAAAAATAGACAGATAACTTATATTAATACAAAACCAAGTTATGTTTATTTCTTCCCTTAATTTCATTTTTTTTTCTAAGGAACTCTACTGAATTTCACGATCAATCTCGCACCAGGATACCATATATATGATTTTGTAGAGCAAGATGCGGCGCATCAAGTATATATCGCAAAGAAAGTTTTCTTCAGATGTTTATGTCATAAGGGTCTTCACCCTGGTTATGGCATGCGAGGGATATTATATGGCAATTATATATATTATGACCCACAGAATGTTTGAAAATAAGCCAATAAAAATTCTGTTTTTTAAACTCTTTCCACTATAGTTCTAGGTATTCTTCAATTTACTAAATACACTTGTTTTTTACGTCACTTCCTTCATACATAAAGATTTTCTTAATAAACATTCAATATTGTTAAAAGATCGTCAATGTATTAGCTCACTGAAGTGAAAAGATAGACCTTTTTACGGGATAGACTAGCAAGCAGGCAATGAGCCCTTGCTCTAACCAACAAAATTAACTGTGAAACATATACAGCTGGATAGTGAGCAGTTTTTGAGAAACGTTTATGCTGGTGCTCATATGTTTTATGGCATTGAGATGCCTACATGGGAATGGCTTATATTTAATAAATAGTCTAAACCTGTGGAAACTGACTATTTTTATGAATGAAGAAAGTAACGTGAAAAACTAGCGAATATAATAAATTGAGAAGTACCTAGAACTATATTGGAAAGAGTTAAAAAGGAGAACTTTCATAGGTTTATCTTTAAAACTTCTGCGGGTCATACTATCTTTGAGTACCATATAATATCCCTTATATGCCATAACCAGTGTGAGAACCCTCACGACATAAAAATATGAAGAAAAATTCCTTTTTTTAGGTACTATTTGATGAGCCGTAACTTGCTTCATAAAAGCCATATATATGATATCATGGTGCTAGATTGCTCATGATATCCAGCGGGATTCTTTGAGCATGGGTTCAAAAGTTCATACTAGATTCCTTCATCATCAAATATGGAGTCTATGCCTTCAATCGATTTAACTGAACTTTCTCATATAAAATATAAACATTTTGTAACACCCTTTGAAATGATTTAATGAAGCATAGGTATTGAATTCAAAAAGGATTTTGAATCTTTATGAAGGTTATCAGTTTTGTTTCCAGACATAATATCAATCTTTATGCCCAGCAGGGCGCCCTGCCCTGGCTGATCGTGCCCTGAGGGCAGGGCAGGGCGAAAAGTTTTTAATGATTCATTGCCAGGACAGGGCAAAGGGCAGGACAGGGCAAACAAAAGTGCCCTGTAACGGTCTCTGGTATATACCACAGAAATTGCTCATGGATCTTATTATTTAGTGTGATCGGGATCTAAGCTGAACAATTCAATTGACTAATATTAAACAGACTCCATCAAAATGACAGACAAAGAAAACTTTAGACATACAGAGGTTTTTAAGACGATCATCAATGTTTGTGCGTCAAAAAGAAGTAAGATTTGAGTTTTACTGTGTTCAACAAATAGATTAATGTTTCAAACTTTGCAACATTGACTATTTCAGCATGTGTATTTTAAAAGCAGGACATTTTTTTCTTATTTTTTTAAATTTCAAAACAGTTCACTAATACAAAAAATGTCCCGATGCGATTTTTCTTATCGTATAGACAACAATTCAGAATATCAATTCATGAAAGAACTATATTCAAGGAGAAAAAGTGGATCCTGAATGCTTGAATCCTGATGAATTGTAGAATAAACTGATGGAAATGCGCCATGAGAACGCTGGAAAGAGCTGATCCAAACGGATGCCAGGATCTATAAGGATAAAAAAAACTAAGTGGAAAAAACAAAACAAAGTGGAAAGAAAAACGAATACAAAGCACTGAGATTCCGATGTGTCTCCCTAAATTTGGTCCAGTTATGATGAATTTTGCGCATTCTCAACATCCATGAGGATCTACGTTTCCTTTATCAATTTCATATTATTGTAAAGCCTAGTGATTTTCTCTACAATTCGGTTGACTTCTATAAATTGTGATGAATTCTGTTGAATTATAACCGATTCGTAAGTTTTGACAGCTTTAGCACATCTTCGATCAATCTATGCTACGAGTAACGCATCGATTCCTTGAGCCTCGCTTAACTCAACTCTGAAAGGAAGAAAAGATAATATAGAATATTGACTCCTATGTTGCTATATAAAGTCTTAATTTGGATTGAAGTAAAACCGAAGAAATGTTTTGTGTGAAGATAATCGATAGGTTGTATTGAAATATATTACTTTTTCGATAGTTTATAGTGCATCATTTTTTTTTTTTGTGTAAAACGTATTTATTTATACCAATGTTAGAACACATTTCACTAGATTTCGTTGGTCAATATGTGTGACAATATGAATATATGGCATAATTTATTGAAAAAACGCGGAAAAGACTTCCTTCTAGATCTGAAATATTTGATATGTTTCCGCTGAAATTCTACAGTTTGCAAGATCGAAGTCAAATATTTTTATTTTAAATGATGGACAACCAAATAGCACTATGATAAAAATTGAAATATTTCTGCCTCGATTCTCTCAAATTCCCTGACTTTCTGGTTTCTGGTGAAGACTTATTTAAAGTTCTTTTTTCGTACGGATAAGATAAAAACTACAACTGTCAAGTCATATTTTCGACCTCACTAAAGAAATTTCACCTATTATCAAGCAAGCATATCAAATATGAAGTATTTTATGAATAATTTTCAGTGGTATAAAAATACTCGGCTCGAATACTGGAATTCATACCTCATAAGTAAAACACATAATTGCAGTACTTTGAGCACCGAAACAGAAAATTTCTTGCAAAAACCTGTGCTGCATATTTGATAATTAAAAACCTTGTAACTTTTCACTGCTAAACTAGTTGTGAAAGTTTGCTGCATGATTATCGATATAGCATTATGCGTACCGTTTGTTTACATTTTCAACATGGATCTAGTTTCAACAGGGGTTGATGAAGTTCTTCTCTTCTTTCACACCAATATTCAACCCCACATTGCGCGTCAAGAACTCAATCACAGCCATCCATATCCACATCTGCAGAAACATCTAGGCCAAGACCAAAATCAGGATCCAGACTCGACCACACTTTTAAGGTAGGAATTAGTAGATATATAATAAAGCTCAACAAAATAAAATTTTGATATTTTTTTGATCACTTGTATCTTGAAATATTTGCTTCGCAGTTTTCTGGACAATGGAACACCCTTATACCAATGTCATTTTCAGGTAACCACTGTTTTTTCAAATTTAGGAGAAAGTATTATGTTTATTAGATCTAAATTTCATAGCGACAAGCAAAAAACAAACAAAAAAAGCAAATGTAGTAAATTTAAATGTATTGCATCGCTATATTTTTTTTATAGTAATATCGATGTCAATCGAACTTAGAAACATATATCCTTGACAAAAGAAAAAAGCATCTATATTTCTGTATACAATATACCTCGCCACGATGTGATAATCATCGTTTTTCTGTGCATATTGTACTTGATTGAGAAATGAACACATGATCTCGTTGAAAATACATAAAAAGACTTCACATAGAAAACATAAATAATTTCAACGCAATTTTTTTTAAACAAACAATGAGAGACATTCAAACGTTATATTAGGCCAAGTGCAATGAATAGTTTTTTACTATCTATAGGTAATAGTCTTCGGATAATTGACGTTACATAAATGTACTTTAATATATCAATGGCTACAGAATTTTACAAGCAACACATTAAGTTTTATTTTTCCCCATTTTTAATAGCAAATTAGCTTTTATAGTCAAGAGTCATTAACAGATACGGGCATTCATGAGAAATTTGTACATATTTACGTAACTGAAATCATCAAATTTTGTAGTTCAGCAATTATAAATAGTTCAATATATTTGATAGGAAACTCAATAGGTTTAAGATAAATACAAAAATCAAATTCAAATGGCATAAGTTTGAAACCAACGCAATCCGCAATAGATTACTCAAATAAGATCAGTTTTGAGAAAAGATTGAATGAGAATTAAAATCATCATTCAAGAGAATAATAAAACGTTCGGAGCAGTTTGCAATTGTTTAGTGTAAATCAGATAAGAACAATTTATCTTAGACATGAGCAAAATAATCCCAGTCACAATTCTACCGAGACCAGAACTAACGCTTGTTTATTGGAATCGATAATTTTTATGGTTATGTAAAACTGGCATCGAATATCATATTGTCACGACTCATGTGTTCTAAATAGATATGGACAAGATGTTCCCATTCATTTCTATTTTATTTTCAATACAACTGATATATTTAAATTAAAAACAGAAAACAAATCACACAATCTGTCTTACCTATGAAGAAACTTGATGTATTTGTATTTATGAAAGCTTTTGATTGAAGCTATCAAATTTTCTGTAAGAATATTTATTTTCCAAAACATACTCGATTTTTTTAAAATCAATTTTTAACATGACAAAATTTGTTCGCTACAATGAATATTGTATACATACAACATTGATCTTATTATTTTGATTATCAATTATTTATTTATTTTATTCGTTCGTATTTGGTTCCACAATAATTGGAATAGTAAGTATAAGTTGTTGCGTTTTACGCACAAATTTAGCAGTTAAACGTTGAATATCAAACACACTATTACAATGTGGTATATTCGGTTTCTTTCGTTTTTTCATGTCTAGTTTAAGACGCATATGAATTTTTGAACATTCAACTTGTACTGTATCTTCCCAAGGCAATACTGTAACATCACAATCAGCTACACTCTCACATTCTGGTAATGAAACACGAATAATTAAAAAATTATTATTATTAGATATTTCCTCCGTATATGTTGGAATAGTCCATAATTCTTCAATTAAAACTGGTGCTTTTATATTCTTCTTCTTTTGTTGCTGTTGTTTATTAGATGACGATGATTGTTCAGTCATAGTCATTGATGAAAGTTGATTGATTAATGATGGACTAAAATCATTATTAATTAAATCTTCAAGATTTTCATCATTATTCTTATTTTTTAATATTGGCTGAAGAAAATTTTGTTGAATTTCTTCAATATTACCAATTGCTTTTTCATCAAGAAATTTATAATGATTATAATCAACTAATAGATTATATTGAGAAACTACTAAATCAAATGTTGATCGAATTAATTGAGTACGTCCAATGATTTTCATAACATTTGGATGTACAGCAATATTCACAAGGATACAAGATTCTTTATATAAACAAAAACAAAAAATTGATTTTTAAAATGTTGAATTTATCATCGAAAATTTACCATTATTATGAGTTATTTCGGTTGGTGTAAGTGAATACATTTTTGTTAATTCATCATTTTTTGTTGGAGATGGTAAACGAAGCCAAGTAAAAATATTTAAATAAAATACTTTAATATTTGGATTACTCTTAAAAGAAAATAAAAAAAAGCATGTTTGAATTTTGAAACAAATAATAAACTTACATGTAATGTAGATTGAACTGCTAGACATGGTGTTGGTGGTGCCATCCATTCTTTTCCTTCGTTTAGAGTTTTCTCAATAAATTGTCTATTAAAAAAACAAATTGAATACAAACAAAAAAAAACAAGAAATTGGAGCAAGAGCAAAAAACCTCCCACTTACCGAAAAAACTTACTTGTAAGCTGTTGGATCACTTGATTGTAATTCATCTAGCATATTCCATACACGTTTAGCTTTATCCATCATATCATTTGATGATGAATCAGTTGAAGGTTGAAGACGAAGCATATCCATCTAATATGAATCTGTTGAATAATCAGTGAAGAACTACTTTTATATTAAAACAATAACGACACAATACAAAATTCTCTGAGAATGAATTCGAAATTTCGAGAATTATCATGCAGAATAAAAGATTAGAAGAGTGTCAAGCTTTAGCGACAAAAGAAATCGTTTAGAAAAGAAAATATTTTTTTTGAAAAGATTGAAATTAGTTTCCATGGTAACTATAAAAAAAAAATAATTTCAAAGAATATTTATAATATATGAAAAACAAAATAAATTAAAAATTAAAATTTTTATTTTCGCATATCGAAAAAAATTTCATAAAGATGTCAGTGGTTGTAATCAAATTCCAATCTAATTTTTTTATTGGTTAATTTCTTCCACAACTCATTACTTACATGATTGATAGTTCGTACAAGACATGAAGGATAAAGTCTCCTGCGTACTTCTCTTCACAGTCTATTTTTTTTACTAGATAAAAACTTTTTCAATGAGTTCTTCATCAGTTGCAACAAATAATGCTAGTTCAAAAGACGAAGACGTTGCTTTTTGGCTTCATAATAAACTTGGTTCACATGTTGATTTATGGTCATCATTTAGTATAAGTTCAACATTAACACAAGAACATTTATTATCAATAAAATCAATTCTATGGAGTTTAGATACACTTGTTAAAGTTAAATTATTACTTTCATTTATTCATATCCCTAAACGAAATATAAATGAAGTAAGAAAAGAAAATAATTTTTGTTTATGAATAATAAAGAAAATAATTTTTTTTTGTTTTGTTTCTTTTCTAGTGGGAAAGTTTATTGAAAGATATTATTGAATTAAGTCGAAAAGATAATGTTGGTGATCAATGGGTTGCTGTTATAAGCGAAATTATGAAAACATTTCCAGATAAAGCATTGTTTAATCTTGATTTAACTGATCAAGAATGTGAAGGTTTTACAGATGGAATACAAGAATTACGAAAAACAGGTTTTATTAATTATTCTATTATCATATTTTCAAATATTAATTTTTGTTTAGTTAAAAAAAATAATGATACAACACATTTACCATTAGAATCATGTTATTTGGGGAAAAGTGCATTAAAAATGTTAACAGGTGATATACCAAATCCATCAAAATGTTTTAGTCTTATACGTAAAGCAAAATCTGCAAGAATTAGACAAGAATTATTAGAAAAAAGTTTGAAGAAACATTTTGTTTTTTAATTAAAAATAATTCTTTTTTTTTCTAAGGTGCTCAAACATCTAAAACAAAGAAAATATCAGATTATGCAGCTATACCTGGATCTCGACGATCAGTTGATGAATATTGTAAATAAATATTTTCAATTATTTTTATTTAATTAGAAAATTAAATTTTAATTTAGCATCAATTTATTCTTCAACAAGTTCAACATCAAAGCAATCGAATATTGGTTTTCTTAAATCAAATCCAATAAGTACAACATCTGGAATTATTGGTACAGCACGTTTACATAATCGTCGTGAAGGCAACGTTAAAGTAAAAGAAAAAAACGTTATCAAAAAAACCAAAAACTATTTTTAATTTTTGTATTTTAGCTTCTATCATTAGAAGAAGAACAAGCTTTGAGTGATAAAAAACGAAAGAAAACTATTTGTAAGTAATTTCTCTACAGAAAATTCGATAGTGAAATCAAAGTCAACTATACTAAATGATTTGAAAAAAGACAGTTTTCTCTTGTGAAACACGATCTAAAAGGAGTATTGAAATATACGGGTACAAATGTGAACTCTCTCAGAGCGCTTGTTGTCTTACGGTCAAAAATTTTATATCAATAACGTCTCTTTTTAATAGAAGAACTATGTATTGAGCTTCTGGAGGATTAAGTAAAACGATGGTGAAGAACTTGTGTATCAGAATAGATAGAATAAAATGCTCTCCCTGTAATTATCAACAACAACAACTACATTGTTTTTCACATTTTTATTTGGCAAGGATTACGCTAACAGTTTTTTTTTTAAGTGCGATTAATTCAATTTCATAATAAAATCATGATTGTCGATATTCTTTTTTAGAGGTAGGAGCGAGCTAAAAATTCGGTAGAGAGTTCGGAAATCTCTGTGGAAAGTGTTTAGATCCTGAGAATGCCAGAAATCTAGGCATTCGCTTGTTTTTAAGAGTGTGATGAGAGTTCCTTTTTTTTGACAGACACTGTTCACAAATTTTCGTAGACAGTTATTTCTATCGGAAATTTTTATGTTTATCTTAGTGCAGTTTCTTCCAGATGTCCACGAGTGAACACTTGTTACAGTTTCCGACTTTAGAAAGCTGTTTTGAAATTTTCTCTTACGCTTAAATCCTACCATAGATTTATCATTTGAGAGAAAAGATGTTGATAGTTGTAATCGTTTATATTTTTTTTAAATAGTTTCTTTAGCCATCGTATGTTTTTTTGGCGAGTGTGATCTTTTCAATAGAAATGTGCTGAATAAGCTCTTTTCATATCCTGTACCCTTACTAAGATCTCTGCCCTAACCTTACTCTGTAGGGCATCTTCTACCCAGTCAGATAAAATCAATAAAAAAATCGCATTTTCACATGCTATAATGTGCGTTTTGTTACTTTTTCAAAATTAAAAAAAAACGAATCCGAATATGATGATGCTAACAAACCCACTTTGTACAAAAACTAAAGTTCTTTTTATCGTTCTTTTCAGCATAAAAGATGCACATTCTTATGCGTTAAAATGAGCTCTTATCTGACTGAATACCATTATCTTATCTTGCTAAGTTTTTATCTCACTCTCCTTTAATACTGTCCTAATTGTAAGGATCAAACTGATAACGAATACAAATTGTATCACAGTAGAGATGTGCGAAGTAAGCTTTTTTCGTACTCTGTACCATAACTGAGAAACGTTTTCTAACTCATATCTCTACTTTCCACTTCTTTTTTGCCATTCGTTTACTTCAATCCGAACGAACTATTTTCGTAGATTCTGTTATAGTAACCATATGTGATTGTACAAGAATAAGATATGAATATATACATATATATATATATATCGATGATGCACAATGAAAACAAGTTAAGTCATATGTATATATAGTCAGTAAATTGCTATCATTTCTGCTGTTCTACTTTTTCAGAAGTTAATTTAATTGAAATCATACAGTCATTACGGCATTCATTGAAACTTATTCTCCTTGTGAATTATAATGGAGATAAGCATAACATGATTTGATGTCACTAATCTCACTGTACTTTTTAAAAGATTCATTAGGCATTATGCTAACCAAATTTGACAGACAATTTACAAAATGCATCAAAACCAATAGATACTCTGTGCTATCTGCTAGATTTGGCAGATAATTTATACTATCCAGCGAAACGAATAGATACTGTGCACTGTCTAACGGATTTGCGAGAAATTTATGCGCAGCAGCAAAGTTCCAGGACATAGTGAAAATTTTTTCATACACACGTTGAACAAGTGTGCATGTGGTGGAGTGGGGAGGGGGAGGTAGCCTACCTCATCTCCACGTCCACATCGAGAGCTATACTAGAAATGATAACGCGGCACAGGAGGAACGAAATCTATTGTGTCTGACCCCTCCTCCAACCGATGACCTGCCATTAGACCATCCCTCACCTGTTTGTCTTGCAATGACATTGTCTGCTTATTATTATTTCATTTTCTGCCAGACAAAGACAAATAGTGTTGCAAAATCCAATTTTTATCGAAAGTAACCATCAAGGTATAAAAAACTGGCAAAAAGTATTAAGAACTTTACCGAAATATTCGAATCAATAACCCTGAATACGATATATTACTCAGTATCGTTTTGTAAAGAGAAGACTTTCATTTGTTGTAAAGTCATAAAATGAATAAATTATTATTCTTATATAACACTAAAAATGTGTATTTAATCAAGATTAGGATGAAAAGATGCAACACGATGGTTTTAACCATAACTTTCGAGATGTGTTAGTTATTACGTCCTGTTTATACTCTTTCCCACAGAATACAAGGTCATGAGGAGTGCTTTTGTTCTTCAAGCTATAGATTTGGAAGGAAGCTTGTGTTGAGATCTTTTTTTTCGTTAATTAGTAGAAATATGCATATTCTTGCACTTTTCATTGATTTGTGTTCATTTTGTACAAAGTGATCCTCAATTTTCTCCGAAAAATTCTAATCTCGAGGGTGAACTTCTATTTTGTGGGAAGATTATATAATAAAGAAATAAACAAAATTTGTTTATGCTGCATGTCGAGAAAGGATGAATGTTTATATTTAGAATTTAGCCTTCTATAAAAAAACACGCATGTTAGAAAATATGTCCAGAAACGACTTTTCTTTTGTATCAAGAAATGAACAAAATGATTATTCTATTTATTTATACTTTCTATCTCTATTGTTGTTCATAGTGATCATCTTGCTTTTTTTTGTGAGATTTTTTGTTTCGTTTCTGTTTATATATAATTATGTATTTTTGTTTATATTTTTATAGTGGATGATGATGATGATGGTAATGAAAAGAAAGCGAATCGCGGTAAGAAATCAATTAAACAACAACAAAGTGTCAATCAAGCGGATAGTACAATTGACGATTTACTCACTGTACCCTCAACAACTACGACTAATACAGAAACCCATGAATTACCTACTCCAAATAATCTTGATCAATCTGTTACTCTTATTCCGGTATAAATTAAGATTTTTTAGTTTTCTTTTTCTTATAATTCAATGAATTTTTAGCAACCAACTTATGCACCACTAAGTCTAAATGAAATGCCAGCTACACCTAATCCTCTAATGAATAGTAAGTAGATTGTTGTTTTGAATCAATATGTAATTTTTTCTTTGTAAAAAATAGATGCAGCTAATGATCTACTTTATGGACTTCATCAATCTCGTGTAGACAGAAATTATTCAACAAATTTTAATGATAATAATAAATCAAGCGAACAAGATAAACTCCTAAATACTTCTGCGATACGAAGTGATCTTAAATTAACTGTAAATATCTTTTTTTTTTCAAAAAAAATTAATTTCGTGTCTATCGATATATATGTGTTTTTCGCATAGAATGAACAAATTACGTTTGCTCGTGATCTTTTTCGTTCCAGCACTTGTTTAACACGAGCAGATAAAAGTCGAATTTTAGCTTTTATTGCTGGTGTTCGTGGTATGTAGAAAATGTTGAATATCTTTAAGTTTAATAAAAAAATTTTCACTTTAATAGATCGTTCATCAGATAATAATAATTCAAATAATCCGATTGTAACAATAAAATTGACTGAAAAAGATGAAATCATACCTGATCTAAATACAGGTCAACCTCAACAATATTTTGCTGAAACATTTTTTCAAATGAATACATCAACTGGTGAATGGAAACGTATTAAAAAACTACGACCATTAAATCAAATTAATTAAGAACAAATAGATCGATTTATTTCTTGTTTGTCTTTTCTTTTGTGCGCTCCATTTTTCATCTTGCGATGTTTTTTCTTCTTTTTTTTTTTCTTGGTCGTATATACATAAATATATATGTAAATATTATAGTTGAGAAGAAGAAAAAAAAGCAATGTATAAAAAAGAAAAATTTCTTTGTTGTTTTTTTTCTTCTAGATGAAATAAACAATGATCGTAAACAAATGGATATTTAGATTATCATTTAATTTCAAAGAAGACTTCATGTAAGAAATTCTTTTAACTTTTGTTTTCATAAATATGTTTTTGAGATAAATAAATAACAAATAGAAACTATTGATCGATTTATAGTGTCTCTAATTTTGTCTTTTCTTTTTCATTCTATTAAAGATATTGTAGAAGATTAGTTGAAGAACTCATTTTTGCGATAAGTAAAACATAAAGTAGTGGAAAAAAGTTTAACTTATGAATCATTTTACTCAAATCCAGATAATGATTTTGATAGGCAATGAATCTTTTGTATCAGATGCATTCTATACTAAGATTACATAGAATAATTATGATGAAAAGATTTCTAATTTTCAGGTCTGAAAAGATTTTGTCGAAAACAATGCCATTTAAAAGAGTACAAAATGAGAACTCCCGAATGTTTTAAGATTTTTCTTCAAAAAGTATCATAAAAACTCGACTAAAAAATGCCTTTTTTAAAATTTCTTGTGACACTTTTACCTTTTTAAGAAAAGGTCGTAGAAAATGCGGCAAGTCCTCATTTTGTGCTCTTTAACATGACAGTGTTGAAAAGTAGCTTCAACAAAATCTTCTGAAATCTAAAAACTACTGTGTTCAGTTGTTTTTTTAGAAACTTTGCCATCATAGTTCATCTGTAAAATATTGATAAACAAAACTCCATTGGCTATTAATATTACTATCTGGATTTGAGCTAAGTGTTTAACACAATAAAAAAAAAAAAAAAATTAAAAATACATTTTTCTTAAATTTTTTTCCATCGTTTTCTATCAACATTAATTACACTCTCTGATTTTCATTACCTTTCGTTACGTATACTTCACTTGCTTTTTGCGACTACAGTAAATTCATCATGAGGTCAGAAAAACAATAGAATTGAAGAAGTTTTTTTTTCTTTTTTCAGCGTAAGGCTATGGAGTATAATTTCTACAATCCGCAAGAGTTAAACATATCGAACATTGTATGTTTGATTTTTGAAAGCTTCCGAATTGAATTGATTCTATTCGTTGTTAGATAATAAATTTGATTGCATAATGTTTAATTTCCATAGAAAATGATTGACTAGATGAAATTAGAAGTTCAATATAATTGTTTGATTGTTCATTCAATGTCAATTGAAAACAAAATAAATATTTCAAGTGAATCAAACATAAACAACCAAAAAAGCACTTTTATAATCTCCTGAGGTGTTGTCATATGAATAATCGTTTTTTACTTTTATGTCCAAGAATGGGCATGTATCATGTTCGTTGAGCATTTCAAAAAAAAGCTTAACATGGTTTTTTTCATAAATAATGAATCAAATTTTATTAAAGTCTTGATAGGTAATAAGAATTGATGAAATTAAACATCATTTACGTATTATCTAACGAACTTTTGTTCTTCTTCATAAGCTAAAAAGTATATGTCACATATATAGATATTTTTTTTAATCAAAAAATGAACCTTATATTCAAGTATCAGTAATTATAGAAGACCTTTGTCAACGATCAATTAATCACAACACGTTATATACATTCCATCTAGTGATATTTTAACATCATCGATCTTAAGAATAAAAGCTAAGTTACTTAATCAATTTTCATCATTATCTAGTTTATCTGTAGATCGATCATATAAAAAAAAAACAGTGTCCATGTCTTTAAAGTATCACGTCATGACAATATTCATTTTAAAAAAATCTAATGACGTAACTATTAAAAGTAAAATGGAAAAAAAACGAAGGAATATTGATTGTATAACCAACATTATTCGATATTGAGGACATGACATCGTAAAGAGAGGGAAAGAAAGTGTGAGGAAAAAAACAGAAAAACCTTGATTTTACACTGTTTGTTGAGTATCAGTTAGTACACATGTAGCGCGTTATACGTCATCAGCTATACCAAATGTCGTAGATATGTACTAATGCTTCGTTTGCCAATGTCAATCATATGTAGATGTTGATATCTATTTATTAAGAACGAAAAAAACTATACGGCTTATTTTAATTAAGTCAAAATCAAAAGTTTTTTTATCTTTGTTTCGATTGATTTCGAATTTGAATTCAAAAAAGAAAAATTTGCTCCAATGACTGAACTCATTTTTCGACATATATATATATATATATCGTATATATTTAATTTTTTTCTTTTGTTCAATGATGACGATCGATAGACGGTAGGAAAAATTATAGACGACAGACTATTATTGTACAAAGGCAATTATACTCGATTGATAGAGTGTCATTTAGACATATGAACACTGTTGGACATCGTCTGCTGCTTTTTTTTGTAATGATCTAATAGATCAAATTTAAGTTTTTCTTTGTTCGATTAGATGAAAATTTGTCTCTCTTTGTGTGTGTGTGTGTGTGTGTGTGTTGATGAAATACATTATTTATATGTAGAAATTTGAGATGTCAACACTATGTAGTTCTATATTCCACATAATGGCTCTTTTCGGCACGTTGTTCATTAACATCCATGGTTGCATCAAGCAAAAAGTCAGAAATTGATATTGTTCTTTACCTCTTTCTTACCACTCTATTCTAATAATCAGCAGACAACAATATCTTTCTCGCCTCTTTACTGTTGTTGATAGAGGAAGACAGGAAGAAAAGCAAGTTCTTCGATGCTTAACATATATATCGTGCATATATGTGGAGGAGGTGGTGAGATGAGAGATGTTCGTACAGTGGAAGCATGAAGAAAGATAAGCTTTTCTTTCTCTTCTCCCTCCACGCTCATTGGCAAATATGTACAAAACGTCGACATTTTCTTTTCTCCTTTTGGGTTCCATTGTTCTGTGGAGTGTTATATATATATATGTATATATAAATATACAGCAAAGATTCTTCTGTATGCTTCCATTGCATAATTTTCTTGCATTTTTTTTTGTCCGGAAAGAACGAAGAACAAGAAAAAAAAAACGAAGAAAAAGAAGAAGTAGCGACGATACCTTCTGGTTTTTCTCTTTTAGCTTGTTGTTATACCGATCATCTCTTTCTGATCATCGAGATAGGCTGTTTACGCGCGCTTACAAGAACATTTTTTTTTCTTTCCCTCGTTGATATATATTTTTGTTGACGTCTATTTTTATGCATATATAACAGCAAAAAAAAAAAACTTTCCGTCGAGTACCATAAAATATATTCTTCGTTGTATGAATATTTTAGAATGGATAAGTTTATACTTTCGATATTTTATACATAATTTTTTTTATCATAGAATTAAAAGTTTTAATTACAAATAGAATATAACCATGAAAAGAGAATCGATATGTATTTTTTCTTTAGATAATGTAGATAAAGTGATTTAAAAGAATCTCAGTTTAAAATGAATTTATATAAATATCCAACATAATGTCAACTTCATCATTAGCTTCATCAACAACAAATACTTATAATGAGACTAGTGGATTAAATGGTAATTCATCAACATTACAATGTCGTATACAATATCTTGATGATACGGATCCATTTTCAAGTGTAAATTTACCTGAACCAGCTCGACCACCATCATTTACATTTCTTACATCAACTGTTTTAAGTAATCAAATATGTAGCGTACATAAAGTTCTTAATGCTCCACATACAGTAAATTATTATTTATTAAAATAGAAAAAAATTAAAAAAAAAAGTATTTATAGATTGCTGATTGTACACTTCAATTATGTCGACAAGATGGAAGTCGATCTGAACTTGGTCCTTATCTTGATCTTGATCAAACATTGGATGAACAACGAGAGGAAATTGATGCTTTTACAGAAGGGTACGTCATTTTTTGTTTATATTTAACCACATGGGTTCATTATATGTTACTCCGTCTGTACTATTATTATTATTATTATTATTATTATTAGAGATTAATAATAATAAATACTGTTGAGTTTTTTTATCTAACAATGTTAACTATATTGTATCGAATTTCTATGTACTTTTTAAGACGTAAATGGTCCATAGTTCTTCGTACTCAATTAAGTGTACGAGTCCATGCTTGTATAGGTAAACAAAGAACTGAATATTTTCTATTGGAATTATTAAAATATTTTATTTATAGATAAATTATTAAATTCTGATGGACGTGAATTACGACGATCACTTTTTTCACTTAAACAAATTTTTCAAGTAAAATAAATAAATTTGTTTTTAATTTTTGTAAATTATAAATATATTACTGATTTTTTTTATTTTTATTTTTTCAAGGATGACAAAGATCTTGTACATGAATTTGTTAATAATCAAGGTTTACAATGTTTAGTTAAAATAGGTGGTGCAGCTGATCAGAATTATCAAAATTATATTTTACGAGGTAGAAGAATTTTTTTATTCATATATAAATCTTAAGTTTTATTTTTATAGCACTTGGTCAATTGATGCTTTATGTTGATGGAATGAATGCTGTTATGAATCAAAATGAAGTTGTTCAATGGCTTTATTCATTAGTTGAATCAAGTGTATGAATGATTTTGTGTTTCTATAATCTGTTTATTTATTTTTTGTTCTTATCATATTTAGTTTCGACTTGTTGTTAAAACAAGTTTAAAACTTTTAATTGTATTTGCTGAATATACGGAAACAAATGCTTTATTAATTTTAACAGCTGTAACTAAAGTTGATCGAGCAACTAAACGTTTATTATGGTCAAATGCAATGAAAATTTTAAATGAAATGGATAATTCAGCATCTGAAGTTGTTTTATTAATAATTACTTTATTTAATACAGTTTTATCAGCTATACCTGATCAAGATACATTTTATGATATGACGGATGCAC